TGTATGATCCCAAGAGCCTTGATTTCCTTGTTCGATCTTTGAATCTCGCGGCGAAGCCGTTGCGTCAGCTCCATCGTCGCTGTGCATTCACCTCACCAGCCCATTACGAGCATATGGCGGATTTGTCCAGCGCCATGAAGAAAATCGATTTTGGCCAAGTCATACGTACCCAAGAAAACAGGCACAGCAGATCCTTGGGCCTTGCGCAGCATTCGACACACTTGCGTTTCGCGGGAAACTTCAGTCCTTGCTTCTCGCGCACTTCTGCCTGCCGCCCCCCTTCTGCTTCTTGCCTCCGTCTCTCTTCCGCCCGCAGATAAAGAGTTCTGCAATCTGGGAAGCTGGGATCAGCCATTGATGTGTAGTAAAGAAGAGAATGATATTCTGTGACAGACACCGATCGGCGGTCTTCACTTGGCTGATGTCAGCTGATCCCGGCTCTCGGCAAAAGTATTTCCCGGGAAACAAACACGACTTGGCCGATTTCCGGGTAAGGATGCGCGACGCAGATAACGCTTCCTGAGGCCACAATGCTGTATTAATTCACAATCATGCTGATATGAATCAGCAAGAGAACTCTTTTCTTCCAGTCAGAACGTAATTCGTGTCAGGATTTTGTGCTTTGACGTGCTCGGTCGTTCGCTATGGATAGGACCAGCAGGTGTTTTTATCTCGGTGGTGCGCCCCGTTCGCTCCAATTGGTGCCCAGACGGAGGCCGTCCCATTACTGCCTCCAGAAGTAAGCGGAAAATTATACTTATTTGGCCTTATTGGTCTGATATCAATTTGCTTGGCCTTGACTTTTTTCATGTCGGTCGCTAGGGGAAAAATGAAGTCTAGGAAAAAGTGAAAATTTCCTTGTTTTATGCGCATTTTCTGTCTCTGTCCGTATAAACAGCAAATAGACTTCCAGAGTAGTATATCCAGATGCACATCATACAAAATTTCATCAAATTTGCTGGGGCTCCTAGAGAGGAAAGGTTAGGCGTCCCATGCTTCCATGATACTCAGCGACTTGAATACCACGGTTTCCTCCGCCGAATCTCACATGCATGTCGCCAGATGCTGCCGCAGCACCTGGCTCACGAGTGTCCTTCAATAAATTGAGGACCGCCTGAGAATGGTATATCGCTGGGCTCATTCCGTTCGCATTTTCGAATCTTTTGTTGCCCACTTCTTCTATGGCCTCCGTGACTTTCTGCTGCTGTGAAGATACTGATCTCTTGTTGTCCTGATTTCTAAAAAGCGATTTGGTTAGAATTATGATAAGCAGGAGATGGAGAAATCAAGACATACATCAAAGCTGCGCCATGCACACATTGAAGAGCCAAATTGCAGGCGGCAAGGCCATCGCGTAGCGACGACATTGCTAGCGGAGTAGATTCGAGCTCGTAGCATTCCGCGATGCAGCAATATAAGAGCGAAAGGACATAGGATAGTACACCACCGTCTAGAGAGCCTCATTGCATAGCGTTGAGGCCTTGCAGGTTCAGAAGCAGGTTGCCAAGGCGTTCCGCAACTCCAACAACTTGGGTATTCTGAGATGCTGTGTC